GGTTATCAGGGACCCCCCCCCCCCCACCTCCTGCACCCTCACGAGAGGCTGGCAGGCTCATGCACATGCCAAGGGCAGACGCTGGTTCCAACTGTGTCGTGTCCCTGGCAGAGGTCCGGGGCTTTAGGACCTGGGTTTGGGGAAGCTTGCGTTTCAGTAATGGAAGGAGCTAGAAGCTGCAGCATGAGGGCAACTCCTCATGTAGCCTCAGGCAGCTCCTGCCTGGGCCTCAGCTTCCAGATCTGCAGAATGGGAGGCGGGTAGTTGGAACTGATGGCATCTGAGATCCCTCCCAGTTCTGACACCATGGTTCTACTTTTTTAAAAAAGAATGTGGGACTTTAAACAGCTTTACTGAGACATGATTCACACACAGTTCAGCCACATAAAGTGTACACCTCCATGGTTTTTAGTATGTTCACAGAGTTGTGCAATCTATAACTTTTAAATACGAGTATTTTTCCTCTGGTGTTCTGCAGTTTAAATCACCTCCTGCAATCCAGAAGTAGGAATTCTTTGTGATTTTAAGTTATTTTCCAAACATGCAAGTTTGACAGGTAGCTCCTAGCATTTCCTTCTAGACACAGCTCTTGGTGAAGCATTAATTACAGGGTGCCAGGGCAGGGCAAGCTCTAAAACAGAATTTTCTCTGGTAGATCAGGCAGGGGTGGAGTCATTTTCAAAGCTCTCAGGGTGCAGCCAACTGAATCCACTAGAATATTCCTTGGTGTCCATTGGGAGACTCCACCCACCCCGGCTCATCCTCCAGCACCTTTTCATCAACGGGAGAAAATAACCTGGGTTTACATCAAAGCAAAGGGGCTGCCAGGGCATTCTGGGAAATGGTGGCCTGTAGCCTGTTCTCCATCAGAGGACCTCAGATGCTTTCTCTATGTGATCTTTTCAGTCTTTTCCCAAGGTCTTACCTGGCTGAAGATAGTCAGTACTTAATAGTCGTGGACCTAGTGGGCCATGCTTGATCTAATGTCTGATGCCTAGGGAACAGTTAACATCCAACGGAACAAATGCAGACTCATCACGTCAGGCGTAGGAGTGGAAACAGCCTTTGTTTTAGGAGAAACCTGTTTCCACCACTGTACTCGAACTCCCTCCACTTTCACAAAAGCCGTTTCTGTCAAGGCCCAGAATCGCATGTGTCCGTCTCAGAGGCCCCTCAGTGCTCATTTGTGTTTAGGGTCCTTAAGAGAAACTGTCGTGTGCCTCTTCAGAGGCCCATCTAAGTGTCTCAGGAAAATGAGATGAAAATTGTACTCCTGTAAAGCAGCTCTGGATCAGAGCTGATTATCCCTCAAAATTTAGGCTTCTGAGCAGTTTGTAATATTCACCTCAAGGTCCAAAAGCAAAGGCATGTCCTTGGAGGTGTGCTCACTCGCACTTACTGTGGAGCGCAGTCCCACAGAGGCTGAATAGCCCTTGGATGTTGGCTGGACCGCGTCTAAGAATAGAACTCTGGGACTTCCCTGGCGGTCCAGTGGTTAGGACTCTGTGCTTTCCCTGCCGAGGGCACGGGTTCAATCCCTGGTTGGGGAGCTAAGATCCCACGAGCCCCGTGATGCAGCCCAGGGGAAAAAAAAAAAAATAGAACTCTGACCTGCCCGGGAAGCCACCCCGTTACGTACAATAAACAGCTCTCAGAGCCGCGCAGGAAGGCCGACGGTTATCTCCAGTAACCACTACGGAGGCTGCACGACGACTGCTCTAACAGTTAGCCCCGGGTGGCCAGGACCTAATCAATAACTGACAGCATCTCTAACTTTTGTCCCCTGCTCGCTTCCTACCCCCACCAATCACACGGTCGCCCCACCTCCCGTGTCCCCAGGCCGAGGCCTCCCATCAGGGCCTCCCATCAGGGCCTCTGCAGAGCTCCCTGACTCATCTGCCTGCCTTTCAGCCTCTGCCAAATGTGAGGGACGGAAGCTGCCTCCCGTTTGCTGTAGCTCAGAATAAACTGCCTTTGCTTTTCTTAATAAAAAAAAAATTTTTTTTTAAATGACAGGGTGCCATGGCTGGCGGCGTGGGGTCTGCAGGGCAAGCTGATTCCAATCCTGCCTCTCCGCCAGCTCCTATGACATGCCATAAGTCCTTTCCTCACTTTGGGCCTCAGTCTCCCCGTCTAGACAGTGAGGGGGTCAGATGTGCTTCTCTGTAGACCCTTCCCCTGTGATGTCCTGTGATTACAAGAGCCCAGGGCCGCGCTCCCCACGGGAGACAAGAGTTTCCCTAAATCCCGGCACGTCTTCCCTTATTTTGCTCCGTGCTCTTGGCGGCCAGCCCCGGGAGGTGGGTGGGACAGCCGTGGTCGCCCCATTCTACAGCTGGAGAAGCTGAAGCTCGGTGCCCCAACAGGCAAGGCTGGGGCCTCCCCGGCAGCATCCCAGTGCCTCTCTGCACAGGCCCCGCCGGAGGCCAGCTCCCTCTCCCGGCCCGGCCACTGGACCTCCCCGAACCGCTCTGTCCTCGCCTGCAAGATGTGACATGACCCCCGACCCGCAGGGCTGCTGCAAATCCTGGATGAGGCCGCGTGTGGACGGCCAAGCCCGTGCCTGGGTGGTCAGCTGCAAGTCACCAAGTTTAGGCATCTGTCAGGGCCACCTCGGGGTCAGCTATGGCCCGGTGCCACCCAGGAGCATTTGGACCCCTTGGCTGTGAGATGGGGACAAGAGAGCCCACGGGAACACGGGAGAAACGAGGTGACGGGGCCCATGCACTTGACACTGCGCCTGACCTGCGCAGGAGCCTGAAAAGTGGTGGCCGCCATGAGGACTGACCCAGCTGCTACCTGAAATACAGCCCATCTGAAACTGCAGCAGCGGCAGGTGACGACAGGAGCGCCGGCACCACGGGAGCGGGCAGGCCCCAAGGACCCTCTGGTCTGTGCGCCTCCCAGGGGTACAGACCGAGCGGCTGAGGTCAGGGCGGGGCGTGGCAGCTCTCTGCCCACTGGGCCTCTGCCTCCTGTTTTATTGGATCTGTTGGGCTCTAATCGCCACCTACGCACTGTGGCTGAGCTGGGAGACACTGAGAAGCCTAAAGAAAACGAAAAGCGCCCGTGGCCCCAGCACACAGAGCTGCCGCATGCCGCTGACCACACCGTGGGTGTCCTGGGGGCTGAGTAGAGTCCTGCCAAGCCCCCAGGACCCAGTAGGTCGGTACCTGCGTGGCGGGGGTTCTGGTCCAGGGCCCAGCAGTCGCCCAGGCAGACCCAGCCTGAGCAGGATGATGCGGGGGGAAGGCTGAGGCCAGGTGCGGGCCCCCAGTGCCGGTGGCACTCTAGACCCCCTTGGGGTCAGCTGCCTCCTTGTGTGACCTTCTTATCCAGGAGGCAAGCCCATTCCAGCCCTGACCTCCAGGCCACTCACCTGGCCTTCATGGGAAAATCTCCTGAATGCTGCCCCACCCAGAGACGCCAATGCCACGCCAAGCCATGCTGAGTGCGGAGGGAGCGAGAGGTGCCCTGGGGCGGAGGGGCCCCGGCTGGCCCACAGGGCAGTCCAGACACTTCCCCACACGCCCTCCACCGCCGGCCTTTCAACCAGCCCCTCGCTCACCCAGGCCGGCGGCCCCCAGGCCTCCCAGGGGTGCCAGGCAGACACCTGTGGTGGGCGCAGCCTACAAGGGACTCTCCGGCACCATGTCACAGATGGGAAAACTGAGGCCCAGCCTCCCAGGGTTCCTGGACCCTCCCAACATAGGTTGCCTCCTGCCGTCACAGCCCAGGCAGGGTCTCCCAGCGAGCACACAAAACACCTGTGCTCGGGAGATGCAGAGCGCTCCTCTCTGGGCAGGCACTCCACCCTGGGCCTCAGCGTTCTGGCCTGTGCCGCCAGGCCTGCCTTGCAGGGAAGCTGCCCCCATTCACCTCACAGTGACTGGCTGGGTCGACTCTCGGGCTGGCTGCCTCACTCCTGGGTGGGGCCCTCGAAGCCATGGGTCCAGAGGCGAGGACGGTCATCAGGCCCGTGCCCGCTGAGGCTCTGGTGCTCACGAGGCCCCTTCCCACCCAAGTGCCACCTGCAGTTACCCGTGGCCCTCGAGGCAGGCAGGGCGGGGGCATCGTCTGCTTCTGCCCAGAGAGGGAGCAGGGCCGCCTGGTGCCACCTGGTACGTGCCCAACTTGGGAAGGCCTAGAGTCAGACTCCGGAGGAAGACCTAGCCGCCACACTCACCAGACACGCAGGCACAGGGGGAGGCACTGTCTCTGGCATCCCCCTCCGTCCCTCTTACAGAGAATGTGGAGGAGGAGGGTGGGGCATGGGGAAGAGTAGGTGCTGGCCTTAGTGCGACCTCACAGGCGGGACTGTTCCCCTGGGACACGTGGGGAAACTGAGGCACGGAGGACTGGAAGACACTTGTCTAGGACCACCAGTTGGTGAGTGGCAAGGCCAGGAAGCAAACCCAGGTGTGCCGGCTGCAGCCTGCCTGGCAAGGGCCCCTCGGGAAGAGGCAGAGCTGCCCCAGCCCCCGGGTCTCACTCACTCTGCTCTCTCTCTCCCAGGGCCAGCGGTTCCACCACTACCGAGTCCCTAGGGATAAAGATGCCTTCCCGCAGCCGTCGAGGACCCTGGGACCCCTGCAGTACCGCCCCACCGCCAATGGCGCCCAGAGCTCCGGCAGGAAAGCAGGCCCAGCTGTGGCAGCTCCCCCGCACTGGAAGGCCAAGGGTGGCCCAGGGCCCTGTGAGCTGCCGGGTCCTGGGACCCCAAGACTGGCCCGAAACGCCAGCCCCCAGGCCGACGGCAGGGCCGCCGAGGAGCATTCCAGCCCCTTCGGAATCCCGTACTCCAAACTGTCCCAGTCGAAGCACCTGAAGGCCAGGATGGGTGGCGGCCAGTGGGCTTCATCCGACTCTAAACGGCAGGCCCAGGCCCCCCGGGACTGCAAGGACCCCTAACACCTTGTGCCCGGGCCTGAAGCCACGCCATCCACGGCTTCCACCCCAGCCCAGGCTCACCGTGCAGGTGTTCCCTGGCCGCCCTGACCTCCAGAGCCACCCTGGAAGGCAGGAAGGTAGGGAGGGCGGCGACCTCACCTGGTCGGTGCACCAGTACCAGGTGGCCATGACGGTCAGGCCGAAGGTCATCCCAGTCCACGGGAGGTCCCCCGTGTAGGGGTCTCGGAACATGTGCATGGCGTCTGCCCGCGGCAAGTGGCAGGTGGTGTTGAAGATGATCCTGGATGGGACGGCCCGGGCGTAGGCTGACGCCAGCTGATCATACCCGCCGATCTGCTCGAAAGCTGGAGGGGGCGGGCGGGACGGGCACGGTTGGTGGCTGGTGTCCGTGACTCCCAGCCCCACTGCCCTTATCTCACGAGTAACTTCTTGATGCATCAAACTCAACTTTTTCCCACTTCACCTTTTCCAGTGTCTGGAAAGGTATGGAGGTAGAGGGTTTTTAAAAAGGTGAATTCAAAGGACTATTTTATTCGTATTTAAAATGATAATATTAAATGAGCATTCCACACGAGGGCACCCCAGTGTCCTGCCGGCCTCTGGACGCCCACCAGCCTCAGGCGAGGAGCTCTCTGCCAGGCTGTCGACTCAAGGAAGCAAACGTGTCTTTTCTTGGCATTCGAGGACCTTCCTGAGGAACCTGAAAGGCTAACGTCCTGACCCAGGGGCTTCCAAAGGACATGACTTTGGTAGAGCTGAGAATGGCTGGGGGATGTGGCACTGAGAAGGGACACAGAGTCCCCAGAGGGGCAGGGGCGCCACCAAGGCTATACCACCAGCCGGCCGGCGCAGGCCGACCACGTTCACCCCCTCACTGCTCCTGTCTGCCTCGGGGTCTGGGCCCACCTGTGGCTTTTGCTTTGTCTGTGGTCACTCCCCCGCCCCCATCCAGACCAGGCCTGGCTGCCTGGGTGCCTCTCCCGCAGTGGGCTCCGGGGGACACGGGCCCCTGGTCTGTGAGGAGGCTGGTACACAGAAGGCTGGGCAGCCACAGGTCCCACTCCCCCGCCTTCCCCAGCAGGCAGCCCGCTGCCCGGACTCTGGGCTCCCGGCATCAGTGCCACCTGTAGCCCAGGCCAGGCCAGGGTGAGTGCTCAAAGTGAACGGACGAACACTAGACACGGGTCGGAAACTGCCTGGCCACAGGGTCCTAGAGTCTGTCTGGAAGAGACCGTTTGCCCTCTATGGGATCCTCCTGGCTCTGCTTGCATACTTCCCGGGATGGGGATCTCACTACCTCTGGGGCAGCCCCCCCACCCCGAGCTTCCTCCCTGTTCCCAGACCAGGAGATCCAAACCCCCCTTCTCTCCACCTTGCCTTTGTCCCGCTGGCTTCTTGAGATCTTGGACATGCTTTGAAACAACGGGGGCAGATGTCCAGGCAGGTCTGTGGTCTCCCAATTGTGTCTGCACACCCACCCGCAGCCCTGCTCCCATTGAGCCCCGAGCCCGCGTGGGTGCGGACAGCCCTGCCTCCTGAGTCAGGTCTGCAGCCAGATGCCAGCCGGCCCGGAGCTGGTGACAGAAGTGCTGCTGGGCAGCAGGGGTGGGAGGGGAGCAGGCCTCCGTCACCCAGGGGAGGCCGGTGGGGGGCTGCCTGCCTCGTGGCTTGACCTCGTGAGGCCACCCACCCCCAGTGCGGACACCGGGGCCCCGACAGGGCAGCACCCAGACCCCAAAGGGCTCGCTGCTGTGACAGCCCCCATGGCCTCTCACCTTTGACCGTCAGGATCACGGCTCCCACCACCATGATGAGCGTTTGCAGGGCGTCTGTGTAGATCACAGCGGCCAGGCCCCCTGTGGGTAGAGACGAGAGAGCTGGAGGGGCCCTGGCCTCGACGGGGGAGGGACAGGGAGGTGAGCAGAGCTCCAGGAAGGACAGCTGTTCCACATCGACGTCCCCTGCCCTTGCACGGGTGGGTGAGCTGTGGACGCAGCAGCCGGGCCAGTGGAGCCAGCTGCAGAAGCCCAGGTGCCTGACACGAACTGGCCAGGTCCCAGGCTGTGGGAGGGGGCGGCCCCCTGCCCCCCGCCAACCGCTCAGGTTCCCGTGCGTGTCCACAGGCCACACCTGCCACCCGCAGGCACCGTACCTGCGATGGTGTACAGCGCCGTGACGGCGAGCATGAGGATGGTGGACAGGTAGAAGTTCCAGCCCAGGCAGATGTGCACGAAGAGGGCCCCCGCGTACAGGTCGATCTGGGGACAGGAAAGGGGTGTGTGCAGGGGCCCGAGGTAACCGCAGGACCCAGAGTGCCGCACACCCGACGTGTGGCCTTGATGCCCCACAGAGGAAGAAGGGGAGACCCCCCCACACACCTTCCAGGGACTGTCCTGAAGGGGAGGAAGTCCTGGCTGTGGACAAGCAGTGTGCAGGGGACGTTGCTGATATTAATAAAGTCCTGAGTGGCCTCTGCCCACCAGGGAGCAGTGTTGCTGTTCAGTCTGGCCCCTGCCTGGGGATGGAAAAGGGAGTCCGGGAGGGCTTCCTGGAGGTGGGGGGCCCAAGAAGACGAGTGAGCCTCCATCTCCAGACCCACGTCTGTCTGGGTCCCTGTTCTCTGCTCCCTGTTAAGCAGGGCACCCCAGTCTCTGCATCTCATCACTCAGGACTCAGCCCGCCCCGACACCCTGTTCCCCGACTGCTCTACTGCTCAGGGACTTCCTTCCAGGGCAGCAGATCTGAAGAGTGATGCGCGGGCAGCAGGAACAGCACAGGCACAGGTGTGGAGGTGGGACTTTAGCCGCCGTCCCCTCTGGGGACCCTACGCAGCTGCCGCTGGAGGCCAGCAAATGTGTGGTTGCCTGCCGGCTCTAAAGGAGACCCCGCGAGGAGCCTCAGACTACCCCCGGCCGGATCTGACCTCTCCTTCTGCCGACGGAGCTCCCTCTCCTGGGGCCCCAGGTGACCTGCAGCCTGCTAGAAGCTAAGAGCCCCGCTCGGACCTGGGTCTGTGTCCCTGGTGAGCATGTCGCCTTACCTCCTGAGCCTCTGGGTAAAGTGCGGGTGCAGATGTGGAGAAACATAGGCACTTGTGCTCGGCCCCCTCTGGCCCTGCTGGCCTCTGCAGGCCCTGCGCAGGGCAAGCCGGGGAGGCGCAGGCAGGACCCCTGAGGGAGCCGCTCCACTCCACAGAGCGGGGCACGGGCGCAGAGGCACGAAGCAACTGGCCCAAAGCTGCACAGTTGTGAGCAGGGCCTCGGGCTGCAGGGCTGACCCTCGGGGCCCCTGAGAGTGTTGACCCCCCGCTTCCTGCACCATCCCACGGGCTTGCAGGGGCCATGAGCCCCGGACATGGGAGGGAGCTGGGCTGAGCTGACCTGCAGGCTAGGGCTGATCCGCTGGCTCGTCACAGCTTCTCAGGACCCTGAGTGCCCCACAGGCACGTGCCCTCTGGCTGGGCCCTGCCCTGCCCTGGCCACCTTCCTGCACGGGACCCTATTGCCTCCTCCCTTTGTGGGTAGCAGAGAAGCTGGGAAGGTCCCTGCACCGACATTTACCACGAGTTTACCCTAAATCATCCTGTGTCCCCGACCCCCAACCTCGCCCATCTCCACAGAGGCCGTCACTGTCCCTTCAGTGTTCTGGACACGTCTCACCTTTGCCACACTCCCTGCACCCAACCCACCGGCCACGGCTGTTGATTCCCAAAGTACTCCTGCCCACCTCCACTGTCCCCACCCTGGGCCCCATCACTTTGGAATCCCCTCGCTGGTCCCTCCTGCACTCGGCTTGTTCAGAGGGAGCTCCGAGGTCTCTGCATCTCCACTCACGCAGAATGAAACCCACCTCCCGGCCCAGAGACCCTGCACGCACCCTTTCCCCAGCCCCATCGGCTTCCCTCAGCGGCTGGACCACCGTCTCCAAAGCAAGCCTGTCCCTTGCTCCTTCTCTTCCGTCCAGATTTCAGCCCTGCATTTGCTGCATTGATCACCCTTGTACCACTTAGTGTGGATGCACTGCTCTGTTTACTTATCTCATCTGCCTGGAAGGAAAGGTCCTTGAGAACGAGAAATGGGTTCATCATGGGTGCCCACCCAGGGCCTGGCACACAGTAGGTGCTCAATAAACAGGTACGTTTGCATAGACCAGGGGCTGGCACACTACAGCCCACAGGCTTGATCCCATCAGGCGCACTGGTGTGTCTTTCAAACGCCAACAGCAAACTTGAGTGGTGTGTAAGTGGCATGCCAAACTGAGCATGCTTTCTATCTGGCCCCTCACAGAAAACCTAGCTGAGCCTGACACAGATGATTCCATTCAGTCCCATGAGGTGTGCCGGGCACCTAGTACCGCTGGGGATACACCAATGAACAGAGAAAAAATGGGGGAGGTGGACCGTGGCCATTCTAATGAAATCATTCGGCTTAAGAAGGTAGCACGTGTGTGAAAGACAGGGGGCTCAGGTCTGCACCTGCGGGGCAGCCGAGGGCCTCGCTGAGAGGGTGAGCTGTGAAAGACCTGAGAGGCAGGGGCGTGAGCCACATGGATATCCAGCCAGAGGACACAGCAGGTGCAAAGGCCCTGTGGCAGGCACACTCATGCCTCGGGTGTGGTCGGTGTAGCTGGAGTGATGTCTGCGTCGGGAGAAGCAGGAGAGGTGAGGGTCTTGCTGGCCACGGTTGGCCTTTACCCTGAGCGGCCTGGGGTGTCAGGCCGGGTTTCTCTATTTCCCAGAGCACACGATGATGGAGCTCGGCTCCCCCCAAGCCCGTGTGAGGCCCCCTGTCACCCATGGCTTGCTCTCTCTGCAGACCACTGTCCCCACATGGGGGCTGGTGGCAGGCGGGCCCTGTGGTCTCTGGACAGGCTGCAGCTGGTGAGGATCCTGGGCGTGCAGACATGTGGGGGCGTTCTTGGGGCTCCACCCAGTGAGGTCAGGGCCTCTGGGGGCTGGCTGGGCACACACACTGCAAACAGCTTCAGCCCAAAACATTAGCTGGGGGGCCCCAGTCCCTCCCAGACCCAGCCCGGCAATCTGCATTCCTCCTGCTTCCCTGTCCGCTTCATCCAGGCAGCCCCAGCCTTGAGGTTCCCCATTTTATAGGTGGGCAAACTGAGTCATCCCATCACAAAGTGGAGTCTGAAGTGCCACGTCCTGGCTCCTTCAGTACCACCCACGGCAGTGGTCGGGCCCACTGGGCTCTAACGGTTGTCTCTGCCCGATTCAGCAAGTGGTGACCTTGAGCAAGTGGTGGCCACTCCCTAGGTCTCAATCGTCTTGTCTGTAAACAGGGCTGCACACGAGGTGGCCTCTAAGGATCCCCCACTTTGCCCCCCAACCCCGACATTCTGGACGTCCTGCCCAAGCTCTGAGTGTGAGGTGTGAGCTCTGCCTCAGAGCCACCAGCAGGACGAACACGGGGGTGGGGGGGAAGAAACCTCTACGCCCAGGGGTTGGCCTCGCCAGACTGCCCCTGTCCCCTCCAGCCCATCCTCTGGGGGTGCCGGTGGCACTAACACAGAC